TGTCTATACTATCTTCATGTATTATCACACTATCCCAGTTTGTGTAGCCACATAGTAAAGCTTAACATTGGAAGAGTGAGGAGTAAACTTGCCAGTGTTTTCTAAAAAAAAAAAAAAGTCTAATAAACTTGATATGTTTACAAAAATTGAGATTTTGATTGACTTTAGATAAAACCGTACATAACTTCAGGGAGAACTAACATCTGATTCTGAACTTTCTATTACATGAAAATTGAATACCTCTACAAGTGTTTAGATATTTATTCCATTTTATAGTTTTCACCACAGTTGTGTTTTATTAGATTATGTTAGTTTCTAACATTGTATCTGGTCTTGAATTTTTTAGAATTCGATTTCATTTTACTAATTGTTAGTATATAGAAGAGCAACTTTTTTCTCGTCACTTACGAGTTCTAGCAGATTTTCTTTTATATGTAATCCTTGGAATTTTGTTTAGAAAAGTAATATCACCTGCATATACAGTTAAATTTTTCTTTTCTCAATATTATACCTGTGATTTCTGTCTCTTGCTTTATAGCAGAAATCAGAATATTAAATACTGCCTTAAATAGAAGGGGATGGGGCATGTGGACGAGTGTCTGTCTCTGTTCTCAGCCTGAAGCCTTCAGGCTTTCCCATTATGTATAGCCATTGAGTAGGATGTCCTCCTGGGCTTTGGGTAAATAAATCCTCTCTATGATGTTGGAAACATTCTTTTTCTATTCCAAGTATGCTGTTGGTTTTTATTATAAATGGATGTTAAATTTTATCTGATGTTTCTTCTATGTTGGCTTATGTGCTTATATTATTTTTCACTAGACTGCAGTGAATAAGTCTGAATGCCGCACTAGCCTTGCACATAGCTGAAGTAAGCCCAATTGTGGTGTCTTAGTTATCTTTTTTCTTTTTTAAAAATACATTATTAGATTGTGTTTATTAACATTTTGTTGAAAACTTTAGCATCCAAGATAGTGGTCTGTTTTTCCTGTGCTGTTACTTTATATCAGTGTAGTACAATTTCAAAATTATATTCAAATTAATTGATTGAAATTAATTTTTACTTTGAAATGAATGAAGAAGTACTGTTTTTAACCCAGAAGAGATTGTATATAAAACTAACATTATTATATTATTTTAATATTTGGTGCAAAAAAACCAAATTATATTTACAGGTAATCTTTTAGGTGAAATTTCTTTTCTTTATATGGATAAGTGTTTGTGATTTGATTGTCTTGGCTGTTTTTTGCTCTACCAAATTTCAAATCCTTTGTATAGCTTGTTTTAATTTTTTTCCTAGTGGTAAGAAAATGAGGCAGTTAGTGCTAGTTATCAATGCAAGTACTTTACATGAAATAGTACATAAGCTACTCAGATACTTGATTGTGACTAGAGTTCCTGATTTTCTACAATTAGACTTGAATTATGGATCTAGAGAAAAATGTAGACACTGAATCAGCCTGCTTAACTTTATAGATATGGAACGAGGTAGTGAAGGATTTGTTTGCTTGTTCAAGGTTACATATGAGGATGTAGGTTTAGTCCAGAATCTTTAACTACGAAGGATCATTAATTCTTCCATGAGGTTTTGCAGGAGGGAAAAAAAACACATGGATATATAAATATGTAATATGTGTATATATGTGTGTGGTATATGTGTGTATATATGATATTACTGTATGTATATATATGCATGCACATATAATATATAATACGTGATATGTGATACATATATATATATATAAAATATTATATATCCCCTAAATACACTATCTAGTTAGAAAATGGCACTGAGTCATAAGAATGCATGAAACAGGATTCAAGAATGCACATTTTTATGCATAATTATTTCTTTTAAAAATGGCAGTTTGGTCTATTGGAGTTATTTTGGTAGAATAAACTTAGGGAGAGAGGTTTAACATTTAAGAAAGCATTAGACTAGAATGTACCATCTGAACAATAGCATCCTAGTTTAGAATCTTTTTTGAAATCACAGTGTGAACATTAAGACTTTAAAAAATACAGTTAGATACATTTAGTATGCTTTCATAAGTATCATGTTATTTTGTTTATTGTTTAGTTAGGGAGTGTATTGGGACAGAAGCTAGTTACCCAACTAGCTTTAGGAGGAGGGAGGAAGATTGTCAGATGTTTCCTCATAAAGCAATTTTTTTTTACCAATGGGGTAAAAATGATAGTCTGAATCTAGGAAATAATCCTGAAAATGTGTTTAACATTAAAAGATAAATGTTAGAAATTCTTTCACAGTGATTAAAATGATAATTTGTCTTTTATCTACAAACATATACTGATGTTTCTCCTTCCTTGTCATCCTTGTATGCTACAAAATTTTCTTCAGTCTCTCTCTCAGTAGAATACTTCAGGAAGGTACTATTCATTGACTGGAAACCAAAAGTGCTGCCCGTTTGGTACTTGGGCTACAAGGAGTGTTTGTTTTGGTCATATTTTAGTTTAAGATATTCCTGTGCTTCAATGGACTCTTCTTTTGAAAATTAAAAATAGCTATGCAGTGTTATTTATTACTTTTATTTTTTTACAGTCCAGTTGTTACCCTCCTCCTGTCCACCCTCCCACAGTTACTCATCCCATTCCCCATTCCCCTCCTAGCCACCCCAAGGTTGCATATTTCCATTGATTCTGCTGACCCTCAGGGCTTCTCTCCTGTTCCTTCCCCCCAATATCTGATCAAGTTCGCCTTTTCCCTTTTCCTTCCCCTCTCCTACCCAGGTCTCTACCTCCTTCCTTCTGCCTCCCATGACTGATTTCTTTTCCCTCCCATGAGTTAAGTGGAGAGAAATGCACACAGAACACCCATCTAACAAATCAAACAAAGGCAGGTCAGCCAGTTTCTTGGAGCTAGTAATGGCAATGCATTAAGAGGGAGTTGCTGCTCACACAACCTGTGGGCCAGATGCATCCCAGAATGAATTTCTGTATTTAAGTATTTGGAAAAAATATCAAGGATAATATTTTGTTGAGAATATTATGTTAAAAATTACAAAAAGTTTAGTTTTTAATCTGCATAAATAAAGTTTTATTGGAACACAAACTCTGTTCATTCATTTACTGTCTATGGATACTTTTGTACTTCACAAGCAGAGTAGTTGCTTGTGCAGACCATATGGCCTGCAAAGCCTAAAATACATACTGTCTGGACCTTTACAAAAACGCTTGCCATCCCTGTTTTAAGAGAAGAGTGTGGGCAGTACATGTTTTTAGAATTTTTAGTACAAGAGAAACTTGGTTTGCTCATGTTTTGAAGAAGTTTCTGAAAAGAAATAACTTAATGGTTTCTGATGTGTCCAGATAAATAGTAGTAGCAGACCTTCTCTAGAATACAGATGCCATAGTTATCATATAGTTTGCACCATGTCATTTCATGACACCATTTCTGCACGTAGACACTACAAACTCATAATTACATCTCTGTTAGTACATTCTGTTAGTACACTGTAGAACAGCTGTTCCCAAGACTTACTTAGGATCTTAGAATTAAGAAACTTGTGTTAGTTTGTTGTTGCTAGGACAACATACCAGAAGTCAATGACTTCAAAGATTTATGCTGGATCCCCATCTTCTTGTCTTAGCCACTTGTTGGTTGTTTTCGTTGCCGTGGACCGAGTACAGATGTGAACCTTGTGACTGGGAATGTGCAGTCTAGCCACACAGTTCATGGCAAACAGGAAACAGAGTGAGAGAAGGGCTGGGGAGAAAGGGTTATGTCCCAAGTGACCTACTTCACTAGGCCTCCAGGGTTCTTGTAAAATACCATACTATAAAGCATTAACATGGGATTAACTCATTGGTTAGGTCAGAGACCTCAGTGTCTAGTCACCTCCCAATAATGCCATATCTGGGGACCAAATCTTCAATACAAGAGCCTTTTGGGGTAATATTTCCTGTCCATAGCATAACACAAGAATTTTTTTCAGAAATGCAGATTGTATGTTTTCTATGTTAGAAATGAGGACATTTTAAAATGGCAATTTGTTAAATGGCAGGTGTCCAGTCTACATTACTAAAAGAAATCTTTATGAAAAGTGTTTTCTGAATGAAAAAGAAATGTGATGTAGAAAACAATGGGATTTCTTATCTTTTTTATTCAGCTTCCAATGTACGCTACTTTGATTGTTGTATTATTTTGATTTATCCACACACAATTAACTAGTTAGAAAATATTTTAATAATTTATTTAGAGAGTTATATTTTTTCTTTTTATGATATCAAGATTTAAGAAGTAGCCTCATTTTTTAAAAGTCAGTTGATCTCTCTCACCTTGAATTTTTTTTAACACATGAATGCTTTGCAACATCACATTAATTCTTTTATAAAATAACAATACTCTGAATTATATGGATCTTCTGGATATTGGCTTATTTCATTATTCAGAATTCAAAGGCCACTTTTGTTAATATTACCATGTAATATTACATGTTATCCTAATGCTAGTAGATGCAAGTCTCTATCGATTCCTGTTTTTACCAACAGATTCAAATTTTACCACTGGCAATGCATATGAATATAAATTGCTTTACTTGAGTTAACAGATTCACTTTTGAGAGCATGTGTGCCAGATTCCAAAGTCTCCATGGCCCTGGCTTGTTTAGTCTACAGAGTTGCAGGAACTACACAGCCAAACTATACGGGAGAATTGTGTTTTCTTAGGTTGTATTTTGTGGCACAAAATATTAAAAAGGAGGTCTAACCATGGAAGGGTTGAAATGTAATAAAATTAACAACTTTTGCTGCTTTTTGTGTGTTTAAATGAAGCTGACATTGTCAGGAGAAATTTTGTGATATATGTGGGCAATTTAGATTACTGTGGTTATTTCTATGCCTAAAGCATGGGGATGCAAATGCAAAGTTGCAGCATTGGGGTGAGGAGGAGCTGTGGACATTGCAAGAGTACCTTAAGTGGTTGCCCTCTTCAGCACGTTGATCTTAGGAATGTTTAGTTACATTAGTCTTCTGTTATCTTACAGGTGCTATACTTGGCAGATCAGAAACTCAGGAGTGTCTTTTCTTTAATGCTAATTGGGAAAGAGACAGAACCAACCAGACTGGTGTTGAGCCTTGCTATGGTGATAAAGATAAACGGCGACATTGTTTTGCTACCTGGAAGAATATCTCTGGTTCCATTGAAATAGTGAAGCAAGGTTGTTGGCTGGATGATATCAACTGCTATGACAGGTAAGACTTACTTAGTTTTTATGATGGAGTTCAGTGACTTTCCTTCTCTCTGTCTCACCTTAAAAAAAGGAAAGGAAAATCAATGCATGGATTTTCAAGTAAGAACTTCTTGCTGTTTTGAAGATGAAATTATGAAGACTATCGTAACATTCATCAATGACAAGACTTTTCTTCCTAAGTAATAAACACACCTACCATATTTCTGCTTTATTCTTGATATGTTTTGAATAATCTACAAGTAGTGAGAGCTCTTATATATGAATAATTTTTCCCATCTTTTTATTAGCATTATAAGCTTTAATGCCAACTTAATAATTGCTTTAAAAGAAAATATATGTTGAAAAGTATATCCTTAAAGAGGAATAATGATTTGTTTCAGTATTCAGTTTTCATTCAGTTTTATTCTTTATATATTTGGAAGAAATTGGGCCTTTTGTTTTTTACCCCAAGAGATATTTATGTTGACATTCAGAATTATATCAACTAAAAATTCATATAAAGCTATATTTTCTTTAATACATCTTATTTAAATTATTTTATACTGGAATACATAAATGGTAATGCTGTTGAGTGCTTCCAATCTTTCTGTGGGAAGGGATATTGATATTGGACTGATCATTTTCCTGCCTGGGCCACAGCTTTTGCACTATGGGTGGGTGTTGTAGAATGGTAGAGGCCTGCATAGCCCTAGGTAACCAGCTGTTTTGGACCCAAGAAGTTGTGTTATAGCTGCTGACCATTCTGCCTGTCTTCAGGAGCCTCAGTTACCTACAGTTGATGATCGATTAGCCATATGTGACCTAGACATGTATTGAATAAATTATGAAAGTTAACTTAGCTCCATGATGTATTAAAGTATAATCATTTAGTTATTTATTTAATATTTGGAATATGCTTCAAAGTTTGTAAAGTTTCCAAGAGTTATTTCTCTATATTTACATTTTTACCTATATTTCTATTAGTATAGGTGCATAATCAAGTGATATCTGCTATTATAAAAGGAAATGGGAAGACAGTAGAAAAAATGTAGAGGTTATCTTTAACTGGTCTTTTATTAGTTTATATAAGGAAGCTGTGAGTGTGTGCATTTGCGTGTGTACATGTGCATATGTGTTATATGTTATACGTGTTACATACATCCATCTGCATGTGTAATTAAAAACTCCTGTACTTCTTGCCTGTCAACAACGTGTTTTACTTGTGTGAGAACCAGGCAGTACTGAAATGCTTAGTGAGCCATTCATTGGAACCTCACAGAGAGCATTACTCAGCATAAAGTGCTTGCTGTCAGTGATATCTACACTAGTTTTTTTTCCCCCTGGGGATTAGATGCTAATAATATAGAAATTCATGAATCCAATATTCATGCTCTAAAACTGAATACATCAATTGAACAAATGAGGATAGTATGGGAAAGAATTCTCTTGAGCTAAGTGTTTTTCTTTTCAGTGCTTAGAAGCATAACTATTAATTTTTAAATTACATATTCCTCATAAAACAGCTTGGCTTATCTTTTAACTTCTTCTAAGTTGATGTTAGTAGTTTCTCTTTAGAGTTTGATACTGGTAAAGCCATTAGCTCTTAAACTTGAACTTTTATCTAGAATTGTCTCAGTTGTTGCTAATGCTACACAAAGCAGGCTCATTGATGTTTAACAGCAGTAAAGTTGATTTTAAAAGGACAGATTTATATAGCTGTTTCTTAGTAGCTGATTGAAGCTTGTTTCTCAAGGTTAACTCTTATCGAGGGTGTTGCTTTTTATTTTAATTTAGTTTGTCCTGATTGTGGTCAGTCTGAGGGATGAGGTCCTATGTTTTCTTGTTCATATTAGTTTTCTGCTTTTTTGTTATCTTAAAATACAATCTTGTTCATCTGTTCAAGAATTGAAATCTGCTACTGTGAGATAACCTAGTTTGTTTCTGTTCATGAGATACAAGCTCACATTACTTGGTGTATGTGTGTATTTATTTAGCTTTATATCTAGTTTTCAGTTTTCAATATTCACAAAATAGGAAGTTATATTTCCCATGAGCAAATGCAACTCCTAGACTAAATTGCCTCACTAACTTTATGTTCTTCTTCAAGCTTCTCTAATAATTAAAAAGAAAACAAAGGAGATAGTTACCTTAGATTGCTCACTTAACCATATTCAAGCAATAGTCAGAGGAAGTCAGTGTGATCCATCATAAACTCAGATGTTTACTTATTTTTTTCTGCTGAGATTTAATAACAAAATTCTAGGAACAGTTTTAGTTTTAAGAATTGATTATTGGATACTCCCAAATGTCTTCAATTTGAATATAATGACTTCTGTCTCAAAAACAACGAATCTATTGTGGGGTCAGTATAATGCTATTTGTGTTAATTATTCTTTCCTTTTTCAAATAGGACTGATTGTATAGAAAAAAAAGACAGCCCTGAAGTATACTTTTGTTGCTGTGAGGGCAATATGTGTAATGAAAAGTTCTCTTATTTTCCGGAGATGGAAGTCACACAGCGTAAGTGTATAGTGAAAATACATGCTTGTTCTGCAGTAGATTGAAAAGAAAATACATTTGTGTTGTTAATTTACTACTGTTTTCTTACACTCCATCCCTCCTGCTCCCAGCTGTGTTAACTGCTTACTATAGGATTGTGTAGACCAAATCCAAGCCATTTCCTCTTCTGTCTTTCACAGCCACTTCCAATCCGGTTACACCGAAGCCACCCTATTACAACATCCTGCTGTATTCCTTGGTACCACTTATGTTAATTGCAGGGATTGTCATTTGTGCATTTTGGGTGTACAGACATCACAAGATGGCCTACCCTCCTGTACTTGTTCCTACTCAAGTAAGTTATTGTCCTGTATTCTTTTGTGCATTTTATATTTTAGAGAAGTATTAACTGAAGTATAACTGAATAATATGTTAGTTATTTTCTTTGGACTTCATTTTGGAAAGTTTATTGTCATGGAAACGATAGCTAATTGCAATCTTACTTATTTTGTATGTTGTAAACTTCTTAAAGGTTGAGATAGAGTCAAGTCTTGATATCATCCCTATTATTCTCTGTAGTCTCACTATTATCCCAGTGCCTTAAGTATAGAATGCACTCTGCTTTCCTATTGAAGTTATTAATGATGAAAAAGTGGTCTCAGAATCTTCTTTGTTTTGTCTGTGCTTTTCTCTATAGAGACTTAATGCTTTTTAAAAGAACCTTTGCCAAAACACCCTTTGACTGTTAGAAATGACCCATAAAGTTAGGCAAGAAAGTATGGGAAAGGGAAGTCTTGTAAAGACTTTAGGGATATATATCTGTAAAGATCTTTCAAGTGAAAGTTGTAGAGAAATATTTCTTACCATGTATTACTGGTAATTCAGGTATGTTGATTGGTTTACAGAATAGCAAATACTAATTGGATAGTAAAAACTTAAAAAAAATTTCTTTTGATTTTTACTCACTTCAAAACTATTTCTGAAAATGTGAATGGGGTAATCAGATTAAACATCCTGATTTTTCTTTACTATCCATGATGTAGAGTGCTGTCACTAGTCCAGTGCCACACAGGACTTTTCATGAAGTAGCTAATAATCTACATGCCTGAGAAAGCTGATACTTTTGTTTATACTTCTTTGAGCTATCTCTAAATTCTAATTTTTACTGTGTTTCTTTTAATTCTTTAAGATTTGAATACCTTGGCCACTCTCCGTCTCTTAGTTTAGCTCTGTTTTTTTAATAGTAGTAGGCTAAATGGTAAAACTTGATAAAAGAAATTAGGAAAATCTGGTATTTTAATAAGAGCAATTCTTTTATCTAAGCATTATTTACATAACATACGTTACACTATGTTGTTGTATCATCTCTTTGATCTCTTTGAAAAATGCATATGGAAAAATAAACCCAGTGGTAGATAACTTCCATTCTTCTGTCAATGACTTTAAAATTTTGTTTCAGTATCTAAATTTAGAAGAGAAAGTAAAGTACTTTGTGTCCTAATAATTCTCTGAAATTACCCTAGTTTCATAAATGTGACAGAAAAACCTAAAAAACACATTTAAGGGAACTTTATATATAATTTGGGAAATTTTTATTAAAGGATGTTTTGAACATTAATATAATGTTATAGATAGAACATTGAAGTATATACACTGCAGTATATGAGTGTTGTTAAAATGTTCCTCCTCCCCTGTGTCTCTGTCTCTCTCCGTCTCTGTGCGTGTATATATTAGATGACTTTCATAAAAAGTAATAAGAGTTTAACACTTTTTTTAATAAAGGGAAAACATTGTTATAATTCATAAATAATAGACTGAGACCTGTTATAAGTGTATACCTCCCCCCCCCCCCCGGTTTTAGATGTTTGTTGCTATTAATATTCTGAAAAACAAAGAGTCACTTTTGTGGTTGAGTGACTTGCCATGACAAATTTTTATAAAAAGACAACCCTGAACTAACTGACTTTAAACTTTTTTAGGATTTTAAACTGTATACAAAATGGCATTGTTTTTTATGTGGAATCTCACTTTGGTCCCCTCAGACTTTCTCTGACACAGTGTAACTTCATGCTTTAAGTCTCATTTTTGATGAGAGTTTTTATATAAACTTTGTAATCCTTTTACATTTTAAAATAACTGAAGGTAATTACATCAAGCATTTACTGATTATTTCAGTGCTTGTTCTAAGGTGATGTTAAGAAAAATTATACACATACACATGCACAAAACACACACACAAAGGGCTTCTTTTCACTGACTTGTAAATTGTGATACTGGTATGTAAGGATCATCTTTGGGATACTTAAATCATTCACATTCCTCAACCATACTTCTGAAAGTGTAGAATGGACCTGTTGATAAAGTATATTTAATAAGCACTGGCTTAATTAATTTTATCTCACAGGACTTAATATGTAGTATTAGATTATAGATAAACTGTGATGTATAAAAGCTTACAAGTATCAGAGCTAGAATGTAAACCAAGATGCTTTTCAAGCTTTGCTGCTTCTGCTTTTTTGTTTTGCTTCTCTTTTCAGAGAGCAGATATTTTTGAGTACCATTTAGGGAATTGAGTGACATCTTTGGCATCTCTATATCATGTCACTGTCTAGTTTACCTTACTACTTTAGATACTGAGTAGCTGCGAGCACTGCCCCATCTTGTTAGCTTCTTATGAAGATGAAAGAACATATATCACAGCTGTACAGAAAACACATACTCATGTGCTTTCCTTTAAAAGTTTTTTGAAAATGTACAATACATTTTTGAACAAGTGATTGGGTCAGAGGCAGACATTTCTGGCTACTGGTTTGATTTTACTAGTGTGCACTCATTGTTTAAAGTGTTTGGTAGTAGGAATGAATGGGTAGGTGAGATATACTATACACTTGAAGTCTTGAGGACATGCCTGTACTTTACCTGCTAGGTGCCCACCTTTCCAGTTAAAAGACCTGCTAGGAAAAGATCTTACAATCTTGCCAAGAACGTTTTCTTTGCACCTTGCTTAAGTTCTTTGGGAAAGTGGCATAATATTTTTTTTTACTAGTTAGAGAAACTTTCAAATCTTTAGCTAATGGTTGGTTTATGAATAAACTGATATAAGGATTTGACCTTAGCAATATCAATAAACTGGTTATATCAGTTAAGAAATGGGAGTCATAGTAAAGACATCATTTATTTAGAGTACTTTGTTAGTATTATCTTCAGTGATATTAGGACATACATCATTTAAGATCTGTTTCTATTTAATTATGATTCTTTATAATGAACAAAAAACATTCACTGTAAAATAATTTAACATGAATAAGGATACAAACAAGGCATATCTCTGTGTGATTAATAATTGAAGCTACTAATGTTTCTTCGTAACTCACGGTGTCACTGCTTTCACAGTCATCTGAGATGAAAGTTGGAGAGCTAATGCTCTAAGCCCTGCCATTTCCCAGACCCCATTCACCACCTTTTATCTTGATGGTATTGTATTCAGAATGCCTCTGCCCTTGAGGTTATAGACGTCTCTGTAACCTTACATCTTGTCTTCTTGCTTTCATGCTCTCCTTCACCTCTGCTATTGCTAGAATAGAATTTGACATGTTGGATTATGTTGTTTCTGTGATTAAAAGTACTCAAGGGATCTTACTGCTTTGCACCCCATCTTATGTGGCCCACCATACACCATCTTCTGATGTTTTTTTCTCCATTTTATACCTAAAGCCATCTAGTATACAAATCTAGAGTTGTAATTATATTTCTCTCCTCTTCGATTCAGATAAATAATTCCAGGAGAGAAAAGCTCATAGTAATCTGTTCATGTATCATATTTCATTATTCTTAAGCTTCTTGAAGACAGAGTATATGACATCTTTGTTTATAGTCCTTGTGAGGGATGACCATCCTGCAAGTCCTGAATGCAATGTTGAGTTTGTTTTCTGTAGAGTCTCATTGAGATGATAAGATTGATTCCAGGAATTCCTGTAATAATCATTCAGATACTTTTAGAACCTTGCCTTGAGATACATTTGTGGTTTTGGAGGATATACCGTAAGTTGAAGCATTCCTAGCTTTTACATGACAATGACATGATCCCATACTCAGGAAGCAGCCTCTTACTTTGTATTATATAGGTCACTTTTCTTTTGCTTAGTTGGAACTCTTTCCACACATAGGAAGAGAAGCTCAGCCACAGTGAGTAAATTGAATGCAAACTGGTTTTTCTGGTAATAGTGACTCATGACTATGAGGGAATTGACAGACTGACTCTATTATTAAGTCTTATTGTGGTAAAGAGTTAATGTGGTTTCAGTACAGCTGTGAACTTAAATTTCCTGTTTGTAAGATCTGTGTTCATGCCAATAATACCTGCCACTTGGTAAAGATTCGAGTCTAGAAATTGCTTACCTTAAATAATATACAGAGTTAGTGTTTTGTTCATTTCAAAAGGCTATATATATCTAGCACTTTAGTATTGCAGCATTGTTCTTTTTAAAGTGACATCAGCTTCTTTAGTCCTTATGACCCTTTGTCTAGTTGTTGGTTTGAGATGCAGTAAGGATCCCCAAGTTGAGCATGCAAAGTAACCATTGACCTTAATATTAAAAGCAGTAATAGGATGACATTTCATGATGTGCCAGATAACTACCCTCTGAGAAACCAAGTCATCTGAAAATGCTTTGTAGGGTTTTCTTCTTGATTGTGAACCTATTTACACATCTACTTATAAGTATTGAGAAACCAAGTTGTAGGGTAACATTGAAGCCAGTTTAGAAAAATGTGATCCTTTCTTTCTTGGGAAAGATGTAGGGGAAACTTACTAAATTTTATTGATAATGTTTAGCATTTATAGAAGCACCCCTTCTAAAATACATTTTTACTTAAAATATAATAACACCATCCCTCTTTCCCCTTTGCCTTCCTCCTGAAGGCCCACAATAAGTTCCTTTCCTTCAACTTCTCCCATGTCTCCCTGCCTCACTCTCACATTGACAGGTTCCTTTTCTCTGACTACCTTTGTTACCTATATGTATGCATAAGTGTAAAGATACAACCTTCTGAGTCGGATTTTGATGTTTGTGTATATATTTTCAGATTCCTTTGTTAGGAAATTAATCCCTGGGAAAGACTAGCTTACCCTTTTCTGTGCCTGTTAATTGCCTGGTTCTTTATTTAAGGGTAAAATCCTATGAGATTTCTCTCAGTCATTTCTAGGTAAGAGTCTTTAACCACAGACTTCATGGTCCTCTGATATAATTTTTTTCCTCCCTATCTTGTGTAATGTTCTCTGAACCATAGATACAGAAGCAGTGATGTAGATGTACATATTAGGCTTGGCTTCCACATTCTGTTGATCTCTGTCTG